GTGGCTTCCTGGACCCCGGGTGGAGGTCTGGCCCAGCAGCCTCTGTGGTGGGGCAGGAAAGCCCAGCTCAGCACAGAGAACCCCATCCCTGCAGGGTCTGGGGAACTTGACCCCTTACTTTCATCTTCCCCAGTTTCTCCATAAGCCTTTTCTGGGCTCTGAACTTCAGTTTGCCCATCTGCAGAGTGGACATAAACAGAGCCTCTGTCTCCTAGGGCAGTTGTGAGCATGGACGGTGCTACTGGGGCTTTGGGAGCTGGGGACCAATTGGTCCAGGACCCACCCTGCCAGGGAAGGTCATTTTTGGTCTGTCCTACAAAGAGGAAGTGGGTTTGCACCAAAAAGAGAACTAACCAAACCCTGTGGCTAGAGAGGAAGAAGACAAGAATTCCAGCCTCAGTTTACTGAATTTAAGAGGGCTTCAGGAAGGGTGTGGGCATCTTTGCCCTCTGCTGGCCTGAGGGGTATCAAGTTTGGACACTGGGACTGAGTGCTCAGGGGACCCTCTAGTCTGCACCTTCCACAGCTCCTCAAGTTGTGCTCACAATGACCAACCCCAAAATTCCCCTGGAAGCCCCTCCCTGAGAAACTGGGAGCCCCTCCATGGGGGACTGGGAACCCCTCCATGGGGGACTGGGAGTCATGAGTTATCCCTTCATTTGGCCCAGGAAGTGACTCTCTCCTGCCTGCCTCTCTAGCCCCCATCCCTCCACCTGCTGCCCCCATGTGGTCTCCCTGGATTATCTGGGTCTGGGCTGCCTCCCCAGCATATCTAGATCTGCAGGGACTGGATGGATCCCTCAAGCCCTCCCCACACCTCACATGCTGCCCAGGAGCCTGCCCTTCCTCACTCCCTCCCACCCTTAGCCTTCTGTTTCTCTATCTGGCTCTCAGTCTCTCTATCTCTCTGAATCTCTCTAATCTCTGGCATCTGTGTCTCTCCCTTCCTAGGAGTTCCCTATTTCTCTGCCCATCTCTCTAGATCACTGTCTTCTTAACTCTGCCTTTCTCTCTCCATTTCTGTGTATTCTGATTCTCTCTCATCTCTTCATTTTCTCTCAACCTCTTTCTTCATCCTTCTTCTCTCTAAGTTTCTAGCCTAGTGCCTTCTATGTCTTTCTTTCTGTCTCTTTCTGCCTCTTTATTTTTCCTCTCCATCCATCTCCTTATCTGTCTCTCCGATGAACAGGTCCTCATCTCTAGACTCCCTGCTGGCATAAGAAGAAGCTCCAGGACATGCCCTGGGATGGGGTGCCCTGAGCAGCAGGAGGAGCAAGATTGGGGGTCCCATGCAGCACACCCCTAACATGAGCCCCCAGCATCTTCCTGTGTGCGGGGAGCCAGGGTGTGAAATGTCACCACCGGGTCCCAAGCTGGTCGTTGTGGTGGACAGATGTGGGTGCAGTGTGCTTGCACCTGTGTCCCTGAGGAAGGGTGTGAGGCCAGAGCACCTTAGATTTGGGAGTTCTGAGAGGACACCTGGCCCAACCCCTTCATTTTTACATAAAGAAATGACGGCAGTAAGCACTTTGACACACCAGGCAGTACTTGACTGCTTAACTCTCACACTCTAGGAAATGGGCTCCCTCTTCATCCCCATTCTACAGAAGGGGAAACTGAGGAATGAGGCACCTGACCAAGGTCTGGGATTAGAACCAAGGCCATATGGCTCCAGTATGTTCCTTGAACTGCTGCCCACAGGTCAGCAGAAGCCAAGACCCCTGCCAGGCTCAGGCCCCTCCCCATCCTTCAGTTCCTGAAAGCCCCCTTCAGGTCTGTTGGAAGATGGACCCCAGAACACCAGGGGTGAGTCTGCTTGGAGCAACTCTGTCCCCAGGCAGAGTCCCAACCCCACCTGCACCTCTCAGCCCAGGCAGAGAAAGGCCTGTTGTAGGAGGAAGCTCAGGGTTGCACCTCCCAACACCCCTCTCCAGTCTCTGGCTCAGCCCTCATCTTCTGACCGTGGTCTCTGCCCCACAGCCTCTGCCTGTCGCCGGCCGTGCCCTGCAAACTCCTCATGTGTCAATGGCACTTCCTGTCGCTGTGATCCAGGATTCAGAACTCCATCTGGGAAGATCATCACCAACCACGGGGAGGCTTGTGAAGGTACAGAGGCTTGGGGTGGTGGAGGGCTACATGGAGACAGAATGGTGGTTGGTGGCCTCAGCCTTTGTTCTCAGACCATCATCAAGGACAGAGAAAAGAGAAAGAAAAAGACATGAAGGTGGAAAATGAGAAGTGAATAAACATTGCTTCGTACAGAGGGAAGACTGGGGCGGGGGATGCAGAGCTTCCATTCACCCACCACTTCAGCACTTGCTCCTGTGTCTAAATCCAGGAGACAGACAGAAAGCTGAACAGAGCAGAGCTGGTTTTGTGGGTTTCAGGAATGGCTTGCTCCAGCCACAGCAATGTTGCCTGAGTCTAATTATTTCCCAAAAGACACTGGTTGAGCATCAGGCTTCATGCTAGGTACAGGACCAGGCTCTCTGCCCTGAGGCACTCGTGGCTTTGGTAGGTGACCCTTTATCCCATTTTGTTGCAGACATGGATGAATGTGAACTAGGGAAGCCAGGGACTCTCTGTGGAAGATTCGCAGACTGCCATAACACGGTGGGGAGCTACTACTGCACATGTAGCCAAGGATACAGGCCTGTTTCTGGGGCAGCAAACTTCAGTAACGCGAGAGAGAACACGTGTGAAGGTAAGAATGACTACGCATCTTCCATCTCCCTGTCCATGACGCTTGGAGTCACCAGAGCCATTCCTGCGGCATACAGGGTGCCGGGCCCTGGTGATAGGTGCAGCCCCCAGGGCTGAGTGGGGACAAGTGTGCCTGTGCCTGTCCCACTAGCACAGAGAGGCAGGGTGGCATGAGAGCCAACGACCCAAGTCTTGGTATTGCTATCTGACAGCTGTGTATGCAGCGCCAGCCAGGACACTTATTCAGAAATCATTGGTAATGTGAGAGATGTGATAATAATATTGTGATTCGG